AAAAATTGACCAAGGGAGCAACAACCTACTTCAACATAACGTAATAAAGATTAACAATAAAATGTCGTTATGATTGCTGGGGACCAAATTTGCATGTGTAGTTTGTTACTATTAGCAATATATATACATATATATATATATATATATATATATTTGTGTGTGTGTGTTACCGGAAACCAAAAATAAACGCATCTACTTAGATTAAGTTATATTTAATTAAGCCGTCTGGCTTGTATTATCAACTATGCATATTTTTCTTTTTGTCACAAAGAAGAAGATATAGTGTATATAATTTCTCAATCGTTTATATAAATCACACCCTTTAAATTTGAATTAGTTTTTGAAATAGGATATATAGCTTTAATTTTTTCATATTACAACATAATAATTTTTTCATATTACAAAATAAAGCATTGAAAATTTGAAATTGTATCAGCTTACATTTTCCGCATAATTGATAGTTCTATTTTCGTAAGTTGATGATATTGTGAGTGTGAAATTTGTATATGAATTGACATGTAAATCACATTTGCACCATTAACCAAAAACTCATTAATTTAAAAACTTATGGTGCAATGTGAGAAAATTAAGACTTTATAATTCATCTTAAAACCATCTCACACCTGAAAAGTGTAAATTGTAGTTAACCAATTTTTTATCTATTTTCTTGTCGACCTAATATTTGTCTCTTATTGTTGTTGGCAAGTATTTATTCTTTTGTGAATGCCAACTCGAACCCTAATCCAATTATCCAAGCATTAAATAAAATAAATAAAAAATTTCTAAATGCTTGGGCGGCTGCAAACTCCAATGAACTGATTGACCATAAAAAACTTGTTTACAAATCATGGTCATCAAGCTTGTGCGTTGTACGGTGTCCCATGATTTTTGGATTACTTTGGAGTGTCCGCCTGCATGAGATGAACAAATCATATCAAAGATTCAAGAGAAATGCTAACTTAGATTTCTTAAAATAGGACTCTTGATCACTATTCTAAAAATTCATGCCTAACGCCGTCTGGGTCCTGTCTAAATGCTAGGGAGTGGTGACCGCTTTGATTAATGTTCAAACGTTTGAAAATTAAGAAATTGCACCTAGACCTGCTGAGGCATCCGTCTAGCACGCTTAGACCTGCCTAAGCATCAGCCTAAGTTGCGACTCACTTAGAATAAAATAAATAACTTTCATTTTGTATTTTTTTTTCTTCAATAAATCTCTTACATTTTCATTTTTTTTCTTCAATAAACGCACATTATATGCTTGTTCTCTTTGTTTTCATTATGTTCCAATACTTCATAATATATATGTCATTCTATTTTGTAGTTTTTAATGAATACATATATTTTAAATATAAACAGACATTTATTTACACAAAATATAGTAGATTTACTTAAATCCGCCTAGCCGTCTAAGCGCGAGGCCCCAGCTCGCCGCCCGACTAGCGCCTAGCATCTTTTAGAACCTTGCTCTTGATGGACTGTCTGTTACCTCATGTTTTTAGCATAATGTTTTATTATCTTAGCACAGAAATTAATATTAAATTATGAGACGTGACAGAGAATTTATGGAGTTTTCACTTTAAGAGAGTCCTTTTTAGTATTTATCAAGATTCAAAAGACACTAAAATATAGCAATAGCATTCTTAAATAGTAAATAAAGAACTTGTCAGTGTATTTAATATGATATGCACAAAGTCAATTGAATACTACATATAAACCACCCATTTCTAACAACAAATATGTTACGAAACAAAAAGGGGATTGCTTAGTATAATACATATATGTTGAATTAATCAAAATGTTTGAGTGGTGACATATCTTGTTGATTGAGTCTTCTTATTTTGTCGATTTGGTATTAGTTGAACCGAAAACGTAAGCTTCAACGAGAGGCATCTTATGTTTGATCGCCGACATATGGCATCATAGACAATCGTATGAGAACAATTTAGGGTGCTATTAAATACAAAGAACTTCTTATGTGTGACTGCTGATCTAATTGATAAACCATAAAATTTGTCCGCTTTAAAATTATTATTTGATTGCCGCTAGTATTGGTACTCCTAATTTTGGGAACTAGGTCTTCTTCGGAGCAGTTTTTTGGAACCCTCCGAACAAAATATTTAAACCGTTCACATAAAATCGTACGGCTCAAAGTGAATCCCTCACCCTTTCGCTCACTCCCTCATCTTAGAAAGGCTCCACGACTATCTTTCAAGTTTTCTTATTTGCTTTCCCAGTATATTGAGAACTGGATTTTGCTCAGAAGAAAAAAAGAGAGAGAGTTAGAGGCTTGAATCTTCATAGAAATGCAGATCTGATGAAGATGGTGAGAGGAGAAGGAGACAACGACGTAAGGAGAGAGTACCTGTTGTAGGAGTGTGGCATGTTTCTTTTGCTCTGGAGAGGATCTGCGTCCCTAATTTGTTCTCACATCCACATTTTTTTTTATCACTTGTTTTATTAGTATAATATTATAAAGCAACTAACTAGTTACATATTGATATGGTCTTCCATCTGACTCAACTTAGAGTATGCTTTACCCAGTCTAATTACAATCGAGTTTTTATCATTCACAACTAAGGTCCAAATCCATCTCCTTGATTTGTAAATTCAATCCAATAGAAAGTTGGCCTGGTTTGGGTTTTCATGATTTGTTAGTTTTAGATGTGTTTGCTATGTGGGTTTATATTATGTTGATTGGGCTTTTGTGGCCTAAATAATGTAACAATAAAATAACTCCGCAATTCAAACACTAATCATTAATTGTCTAATACCACGGCGGAACAGTCATCTGTTGTCATGGGACGTTACAAAAGTTGATGGTTATTTACGTGTTAAACTTAACAGTTATGTACTCTCACATTTCATGATAAAAGATGACGATTATTTATGTGTTTTAAACTTAACAATCATGTACTCTCACATTTCATGATAAAAGATGATGATTATTTATGTGTTAGACCTAACAATAATGTGTTCTAACATGACATAATTAGTTGATATTTATCTACTTGTTAGACCTAACAACTACGTGCTCTCACAAACGGTACTTAATTAAAGTTTACGGTTATTTATGTGTGAGACCTAACAATCTTGTACTCTCACATTTCATAATAAAAGTTGAACATGTGTTAGGTTTAACAGTCACGTACTCTCATGGTACGTTATGAGTTGATAAAATACTATATATTTTACCATAATTTTAGTATTAATTTATTAGTTATTTTGGTAGAATTTTGATACTTTATTTTTTGTATTTTCAATGTAGAACGTTCGACTTCCTCTGGAGTAAAACGTGATCAAATGGATGAATTTTGGAGTGGTTCCAATTGGAGGATTTTTGGGTATTTTGAAGGTCAAAATAACATATTTTGAGGAAGATTCCTTATGAGCATTTGTTAAGGACGTCTCAAGCTTTAAAAGAGACATTTTGGGACCAAATCAGAGTTGATTTGGTTAGTCAAAAGTTTGATTTTTTTTAGAAGTCCGAATTTCAGTTCAAATAGAAACCTTTTATTTGCTAGTTTATTATTTTATTATGTTTCCTAGTTGTATTATAAGACCTTTTCTAGGTAGGGTTTTATTTTGTAGTAGTATAAATAAGGCTATTTAGCTAGTAGAAGAGGTCGTAGTATCTTGGAGAATTTCAGACTTTTTACCTATAAAGTGTTTTCTATCTTTGTTCTTAATAATATTTTGTTATATGATTGTTCGTAATGAATTTCCGTTTGTTAGGACGATGCATTGAGCATTAGCATGAATATGTAGTATTTATTTAATTGCTTATGATATTATGCATGCATGCCTTGAATTATTAATCATTGTGTTTAAACTGTCTTTGTGTCTTAATGATTCGCAACCATTATCATGTTTAGATAAGTAATCGGATGTAATTTCTATTGGCATGTGAGGAATGCTTCTTGTGGTTAATAATTGTAAGTTCAACTAAGGCGAATGACACGTCTTAGGGGTTACATGGTTTTTCAAGGGTTTTCACAAAGTGTAATAGTCATGTATATTTATATTTGATCTAAATGTCATAGACGATTAGATGTTTGATATACGTTCTAACTTGGATGCCACAAGTAGAATATGCATAAGGAAAACATAATCTTCAAAGTTGCATGTGTAATCTATAATTAATTGGTAAAACTACATAGGATTGTTAAGATGATGGCGAAACTGTCATTGTATCATTATTTTCTAAGATTGTTTTCTTTCAAATTGGTTTCTTTAATTGTTTTTATTAAAATTCGTTTTTGTTATTTTAAAATTCAAAATCAATTTTTTCCAAACTTTGTTTGAAATAATTAGTTAAGAATTACTTTAAATGCAAATTATTCAATTAATCCCTATAGAAAACGATATTGCTTGAACTGTCATACTACGATAACTTTGTACACTTACAAATATTTTTTTAAGTGTTTTTATCCCTACTTTTGCAGATGATAAAAATCCTATCAAATGTATATTTGAATTAAGCAAAATTTTTGTCGATTTAATCAACATCATATAGTTTCTCGTTCCCTTTTCTTCAGGCTAAAACAGGAAGGAAACAACCTCACATTTTTTTGGTACAAAGAAAGAAAATAGGATTTTCATCAAATTAAAAAAATAAAAATAAAAAAATAAAAAATAGAATCACATACCTTTGCATGCTAATTTATTGTCGTCTAACTGAAACTCCCGTCTGTGACTCGCTAACCTTAGCGTCGTTTACTATTTGTGAGCTAATTCATACGACAACAAGCTAATAGCCGTCTGAATAAACATGAAAAAAGGCAAAAACAGTGGAGATGCGGGGTATCGATCCCCGTACCTCTCGCATGCTAAGCGAGCGCTCTACCATCTGAGCTACATCCCCATTGCTTGTCACTTTTCCTTTTTTTAATTATAATATCCTAAATAATTACACTTAGGAGAGCTGCTGAAACGGGTTCACTGCCACGTGACATTCTGATATAATAATTCTATATTACATGAAGAAAAACATATAAATATTGCTGTATTATTGGACTGAGATATTAAGATAATGGTAAACTTGTTTCATGTAAATTATTTTTTACGATAGATGTAAAAAAATGTTCTGTTGTATAAAAATACATCATCATATCACACATATCTATACTATAGGTATGTCAAAATTTAAGAAGTCACAAATATTATGTTTAGGTTTTTAAACTCACATTGGATCTTTATCTTTTGCATTGTCATTAGAATCCAAGGGTTTGTTGATCTTGTGAACTTTGAGTTCCAAAAGTAGGTCATTAGTGAGAGAAGCCTCTATCCTTCTGGAATCAGCATCTTGTGGGAGCTCCAGCCTCCGAACATAACCATGTTCCCACCAATTCCCACTTCTCCAATCCTTCGTGCTCTTCAAGGAGTTGGACTCTCCTCCTTGCTGCTGCTTCCACTGCCCACTTATTTCCACCACTTTTCCATTTTCGGCATACACTTGAACATTGTTTTTCCCTTCTCCTGTTTCACCAAACCATTACACTAGTGATTTCGGCTTTGAGAAATGAATCCAAAAACATCGGATCTAGGGTAGAATACTCTTAATATTTTAGCTACAAGTTATGTGGATCAAAGATTTCGTTTCCCTGCTCTCGTGAATTTAGTTTATAGTTAAAACCTTTTTGGACCCTAGGCCTTGTCCCTCACTCTTCATTTATATGGAAAGGGATCCTCCTCGGATTCCTTTCTCTTAATCCATAGAGTCCGGGGATCCGAGCCGTTGGAATTTTAAAAGTTATAATAACTTTAACCGTTAGATCAAATTTCAATGGTCCGGATTCCCGGACTTGGTGGATTAGGAGGAAGGGATCCGGAGAGGATCCCTTTCCCATTTATATAACCATAATGAGTCTGATAAGGCTATTGGGCTAGTAAGTTAGGCTGTGAAAGGGGCAATATAACTAATTAGGGTTTTTTCATTTTGACATGATATTTAGGGTCGTCTCTAAGATTGCAAGAATCATGTGTGAAATTTATAAAAGGCCTCATCTTAAGATCAGGTTTCCAAAAAAGTAGGACAATATATTGATACTAGAAAACAATAGCTTAAATCAAAATAAACTTTAGGACTCACTGATTGTAAGTTTAGAAATGTCATTAATTAATAAGTAAAAAGAGCTAGAAATATAACATTCCCTAAATAATCATAAGTAGTTCAATCTTAAACAACTAAACAAGAAAAGGCTTCAAAAACTTAACTTTAAAGTTTCCCTTGAATATACAACATTATTATACAATAAAATTGGGGGAAAAAAAACGTTTTTTAGGGTGTTGTTTTAGAAGGAAAAAAAATTACAGTTATAAGGAGTGCATAATGAAATTTTAAAGGGCTAATAAAAGTAATTTTGGGGGTCTTTTGCGATTGCACTTTTTGTTCTCTCCCCCCCACCTTCCCTATGATGATATTTTAAACTGATTATAATTCATCGAGTAGGAGATTTAAATTTGAGTGCAAAGAGACGAGTAATGTGCCTTAATCAACTGACTTAATGCACGTATATTGATTATTGATCTAAGATTTTATGCGTTTGATCCCATATGATGTACCAAACCCCCTCCCCCTTTTAGAAACCAAAAACCCCATTCAATATTCATTCATCCTTATAACTCATAATTAAGCAACCTCACCTCCTTGAAAATAAAGTCTTCTCCCTTTGTCTTAAAAGGGTTATTCATGAATTAAGGAGTAATCCCAGTACTTGCAGATGCAGTCTTCTTGGTTCATTAAATCTAAATCATAATTAGGAAATTAAGAAGTCTAATTTCTGAAAAATAAATATTTTAAAAGTAGTTGAAAATTTTACCTGGTAGTTCTACTTTTAGGACATAGTCTTGATCTGTTTGAAACCAATCAACACAGGTTTGGCCAGAGCTTCTGAGACCAGACAGCAAGGTATCCGACTCAAACTCCCACAACGGGAAGGCATCAGAAGGATCAAAAAATTTCCCAAACAGCAAAGGACAGAAAAAAGATGCACCACCAAAGACCTTCTGCACCGTTGGATTTGTGCTGCCTTGAGCCATGAATCTTCTGAACACATCTTCTCTCAATAAAACACACCATTTCTGCGGAGACTGATCGTCTCTTACGACTTCGAGCTGCTTCCTAGTAGTAGTAGTAGTAGTCATTGGAGAAGATTGGAGGAGCTAGAGAGATCAACTTTTGAGTGTATGGTGGAGAGAGGTTAGAGGGTTGCTTGGTGTTTATACTGAAGGAGAAGAACTTTTGAGAAAAGTAGAGCACAAATTCCCTGCCGAGAATATTTTGGAGGGCTGGAAAGCTATTTGGAATATTTTCTTTTTCTAAATTTTTTCTCATTGGTATGAAGAAAATAATTATGGCAGCCCCAAGGCTAAGTACGTAACATGTTCTTCTTTTGTTTCAACCAAAGTTGGTTTTTGTTCTTTGGTATACAAAACAAGATGTTATGATCCATTTCTAATACTATTTTGTAACCATAGATGAGTGCCGATGGAGTAATCACTACATCAAAATTGGTTTTTTTTTTTTTTTTTTTTTTTTGTCACAATGCATGCCTTAAACTGAATCTAAGGCGCACAAGAAGTTTATGCTAAAAAATATTATTAATAGCATGGATAATTTGCACACCATAGACTACACACGATAAAATGACCAATTTCTTGTAGCATGAATATGTGTTAGAATGCGAGTGTCCAATTTAAAATAAATTGACAATAAGTGCAAAGATTTTAAATCTTCTCACATGAAATATTCTCTAACACACAACATTTCACGTCTATCATTTCCCATGGATATGTAACACATGTTTAATTTATAATGAGTGACGTAGAAGCGCACGTGGTCGTTATATTTTAGACGTGTATAAGTACATGCTGCCATTATTATATTAGAGACTAAACCCTAAACTGTAAACACCTAAACTCGCTTTTGCTACATCAAATACACCCATTGTGCTGTTCTCCATGCAAACTACCTTTCTTTTCCATCTAAAGTGTATTAAAGTTCCAATAAGGGAGTTTACCTTTGCTTTTTAGATACAAATATCCCGATCTGGTACTCATTAAGGTTGTGGGAAAGGAATATTTGTCACACATTTACATCTGTTGGGTGTCTATCTCTCTCTGTCATGTAAATGTAAATGTGAATGTTTGCACTTCTTCCCATAAATGTAAATGTTTGCACTTCCTCCCATAAATAAAAAAAGCTTTTGTGGAGAGCTGCTATTTCCAAAAGCAGGATTACTATCTACATGATTGATGCTGAATTTCTAAGCCCACTGGGAAATTCTGGGGCAACTTTGGATAGTGCGTGGGACACAGCCACAAAGGGTGGTGCAGTTTATCATGAAAGGTGAGGACTAATAACTGCTGCAAATGCTAGAATAATTGACCCTGTATTGTGATTCATGATCTTCATCCCCCACTGACTGAAGTATGATGGGAGCAGCTAGGATAAGGCAATTATTTCCGGTGCTCGATAAGGCAATTATACTCTCTGCTTGGAACATAAAATTCAGCGAGTGGAGCAAAGTAATCTATTTGTAAATTCTTTTTCTTCTTGTTATTTCTCGATAGGTGGACGGACATAGTAGCGCTTTTATTAAAGTTGAAGATAAAAATAGATATTGACTTACTGCCTAATTGTGAGAGCTCATAACTCTTGCAAGATAGGATCCTAATTGACGGGCTTGATACAAAAATTTATTTATTTTATTTTACTCAATACCATTTCCTAACTGGAAATGGCATCCTCTTAAACAGATAATGGTGATTCTTTTGTCATTTGTGTTTTGACATTAAGATAAGTATGTAAGTACGTGGTTAGATACTGCACATACTCAATCGAGTTCTTGCATGGAGTTTTATCAACATGTCAAGTAAGTAACTCTCTAGTTGTAATAATGCAAATTTATCCTTAAACCTAAGTTATCATTGTTTGTCATGCGGATAGGTTTGTGATTTTGTGATTCTGCATTACACCTCCGAGTAAGTCGAATACTCACAATGTTCTAAAAATCCTTCAGCGGGAATTTAAAGTAATTTTCGATAACAAGTATTGAAAGACTTAGGTTTGGATCTTTAATGTAAATGGATTATCACATTTGAGGTTGTATTACGCTGTTGATGAGATTGAGAGTATTGGTTGCATGTCGTCTAATATCCTAGTGAGTAGGGTATTGGGTTTTTACCCATGTGTCTTGGATCCCGAAGTCCTTGATCCCTGAAATTATAGTAATAGTTTTGAACTCTTCCTCTTCTCTCTATTAATAGTAAAACTAAAAAAGAAAAATTAAAAAAGAAAAAATGAAAAAGAGTAAGAGTATTGGTTATTCGAAAATTATTGTATTGCATTGTAGTTCTAGCTGAATAGGTTTTTTTACACCTGTCCTAAATTGGCTTGGGGGCTACGATATCCGGCTAGGTGTTGCTTGTAGTCAATGAGATATCTTGGAGTCATAACTTATCATTATCATTTAAGGTAAACTAAAATAAGTTTTAATTCGTTAAAATAATCAAAGAGTCGAATTAATCTCATTACCTTGTCAATTAGAAACTAACGGATCGAACAGCCAATACGAAAGCTAAAAGAAATATGTTCTAGTGATATAAAAATTAAAATGTAAAGTACTAAGATTTGAATAAATAAATAAATTAAATTTATTATTCAAATGAGACTATAAAAGTTTAGAAAATAAACCATGTTTAAATTGGGCCTATGTAGGAATTTGGGTTAAATGAGTGAAAAAGGCCCAAACAAGGGCCCCTAAACCCTTGGGTTAAACCATACTTTCTTAGCACTTGGGAGGTGTCAAGAGTTAAGTGGTCTCTCCCTTGAGATCTTCTCGAAGATTGCCGGTGGATTAAACAAAACCGTTCTCTTGAAGATTCGCTTAAAAGACTATTATATATCAATTCTGATTTGAGTACCTGGGAGGACCAAATGTAGATTAGCTACAAAATTATATGAGTTTAGATTTAAAAGTTTAAAATATTATCATACTTTCAACTGTTGTAAGGAATCAACATACAAACATAGTTATGGTTTAAACCAACCATTGCATGTCTATTTCGATGAGAAAATTTTAAATTGCAACTGCATCTCGTTCAACTCTAGTGTCTTCGACGCTGGAAGGTGTAATTTTTATTTTTATTTTTATAATGTTTACATTAAAAAAAAAACCTAAGGGGTGAGAGAATAAATTGGTTGCAAACTCATTATTTTCAAAATTCTCATCTAAGACCTCTTACGTATAAATGAAGATGAATATCAGTAGACCATAGTAATTAATCGCACATCAAATAAATCGGTTAAACGTATCATTTCAACTTCAAATTCAAAGGGTTATCTCATGGTATAGGATTATATGCGTCATATACGTGCTAATATCTTGCACAATTACATTAACGTGTCGACAAGATTTTGACGAACAAAAACAAGTCGACAAGATTTTGACGAACAAAAACATGATTATTTTGTGGTGTTTTCAAATAGAGTTATCATGTTGTGTCAAGAATTAACACTTTTAAATTGCATGTTTCATTTTAAAAAGTACGTTAATATTTTTTATCAATCATTTAAAAAAAATATTAAAATGAGAAAAATGATAACAGAAATGCTATACTCTAAGTTTATAACGTCATCAAAAAAGGAAAAACTCAAATTTCAATGTCATTTACATGAAATAAAATTAGTGGATAAGACAATGATAATATTCCAATCTGGACACGCACACACGTACTGTGGTACAAGAGGGGGAATTTTCTACCAAAAATTTAAAAAATTAAAAATTAAAGGGAAAAGGAAAAGGAAAAGGAAAGAGACGAGAAACGTTCCGAAGAAAAAATAAAAACTTAAAACCTTTGTCGACATGTTCTGGTCAATACCGCCAATGTCTTTTATACGAATTTAACAGCTGACAAAACATTCCTTAAGCTCCTCTGGGTGGATCTGGTCAGCATTATATAAGGTTTTCACACGAGGAGCCTTTGTTTTTGGCATTCCCATTTGACATTTGGAACCCATTTGGAAATTTATTCAATTTCAGGGCTTTTTCTTCAAGGAAATTAAGGTGAATATTGAAATTTTCAGCTCCCCATGAGCTATTTCTGGTCTGTTTCTTTCTGGGTTTTGAATTTTTTGTGATTTGGTTCAATATTTTGGCTGCTTTGAAGAAGAAAAATTCTGGGTTTTCCTTAATTTTGGTGTTGAATATCTTCCTATTGTATTCAGAGTTCAAATTCTCATGAGAAAATATTTGGTGGGTAGGTGAAGATTTGCTTGTATTTGCTAGAAATAGGGATATTATAGGTGTTTTCTTGAGGGTAATCGAATTGGGTTGGTGCCAAATCGTGAAAGTTTGAAGCTTTTGTGTGGGTTTTGCGTGATGAAGGTGTTCTAGGGTTTTGGTTATGAGAGGTTTAGGGATTGATGAAATGAGAAGGATATTGAACGTTGAGAACGATGATCCGACAACAAATAAGTCTTATAAAGACAAGTCGTTCTATTGTTTTTGTTATTCTGCTGTGTGCTTCAGCATCAATGAGCTCAGAGGAGAGCAGAACCACAGAGGAAGTTTTTCTCAGTCAACTAGTTGATCCAGCAACTGGAAAGATTGATGGGGACATGGTAACACACTATATAACTCTTTTTGTTTCAGCTTGATAACTTATCATATTAGTGAGTTGTAGATTAATTCAATACATGATAAATTTGGTCATGTTATAACGTTGTTCGTTTTAAAATTTATATAGACGCATCTTATATAAAGATCACAAAAGTAGGGGAGCATCATATCATATTTGTGGATGGAAAAGTAGATTCAAAAGTTGGTTAAAAAGTCTAAGCTTTTGAGTTCGTGGAAGTCCGTGTGGAGCTTATGAAATGTTTAAGGGACGAAGCTATTTTTTACTGAAATTTATATTGATTATGTTAATTTAATGAGAATGTTTGGGGGTAACTTATTTCGATACCAGAAGTAGTATTTGGCTTAAGCAGTGCCTTGGTAATTTTAACAAATTATATATTGCAGATACAAGGCCTTACCAGAGGACAATTTATATGAAAAATAATACTTTGATGTGTTTAAGCTTCACTTTCACCAGCCTTCACCAGTAAAGTTTGTATTCTTCACTAATATGCTCATTTTTGCAAAAGTTGACACTAAAACATATGAAATTCTATGGCCTGCAGGCACAACTGTTATGGATAAGTTGCAGGGTAGATTTGATCCATTTGACGGAAGCTATTGAACATCTTGACTTATGGTTAGCAGATGAAACATCTAGTGGCACAGAGGAAATTAATTCAAAAACTCGGTTATTGGGAAGAGAAGAGTTTCAAAATCTTATTAATATCCTGCATCCTGAAGTGAAACATACTCTTTCAGATTGTTTAAGAAAACATAATCTCTTGTTCAGTGTCTCTGGAGAAGAGGGTGCCTCTAAGATTTGGTATGCCAAGTATATTGAGTCCCTATTTCCCAGACCTTATGTTCCAAGAAGAAATTTGGCTAGTGATTTGCCTCAGAGCATTCTTGATGTACCTTCTCCAGCCTCTGCACCAAGATATTCTCAACGTAGTCCAGCACCATCTCCTGGTCTAGCACCTTCCACTCCTCAAAGTTCTAGTCCTAGGTCTGCACGCCATTCTCGACAAGAATCAGTTTTTCCTTCGGATCCCATAAATTCGAGTCTTCAAGCTTCAGGGCCAGCTTCTGGTTCAAATATACAGGAACATAAAGGACGAAATGAACGTAAAACAATTGTTATTGCTGTTATTATAACTGCATCAGTAACATTTATTGTTGCAGCATTGCTCTTTTTATGTTGTACTAAAATCTGTAGGAATGGGAAAAAGGGTAGACAAAATGATGAGAGGCCCCTCCTTAGCCTGAGTTTAACTGATTCTGCTGGTATAATTCTCGGATATCTTGTTTATATTATCTTCAGTTGTTTGGAGCCCTTCCATTTTGACATTTCTTTGAAATTTTTGATGTTTCAGGTTCTTCATACAAGTCTTATGCTATGGGAAATTCAATGAAAGAAGAGAAGCTTGACCATCAATCATTAGGTAATAACTCAAAGTCATCTCTGGAAGGCCTAATCTTTAATAGCATTTTCGCATCGAGTCTCATGTTCTCAATGCTCCACTAAATAAAATTGCAGAATTAGGATCCCCTGGAGGTGCTTCCAAGTTTGACACGCCCAACAATATCAATGGACCAGTACCACCTCCTCCTGGAATGTCTCCTCTGAAGCCCCCTCCTGGCAGAGCAAAGCTTCTCCCTCCTGAACCACCTTCTTCTTTTAGGCCTCCTCCCAGCAGGGCTAGTCCTCCTCCTCCGCCACCTGTACCTGCTGCTTTAAAAGCCCCAGGAAGTGCAGGTCCTCCCCCACCACCTCCTCCAGCACCTCCTGGTCCTCGCCCCCCACCACCTCCTGGTCCTCATCCCCCACCACCTCCTGGCTCTCGCCCCCCACCACCTCCAAAGAGTGGTGTTCCTCCTCCTCGGCCACCTCCAGCAATGGCTATTGGTTCAAAGGTAGCTCGACCTCCACCTCTTGCACCAAAACGTCCACTGGATGCTGGATTGGAGGCTGATGGTGATGCTCCTAAAACCAAGCTGAAGCCCTTTTTTTGGGATAAGGTTCTAGCAAACCCGGATCACTCAATGGTTTGGCATCAGATTAAATCAGGATCGTTCCAGTAAGTCGCAGTTTTCTTACCTTTTCTTCTTTGTGACCCATGAATCATTAGATATTATAAGCGTCTGAAAACAATGTGATTCTTTACAGGTTCGATGAAAATATGATTGAAACTCTCTTTGGGTATAATGCTGCTGATAAAAACAAAAATGAACTTAATAAAGAGTCTTCATCCCAAAATCCTACGCCCCAGCTCATTCAACTTATTAATCCCAAAAAGGCACAAAATCTATCAATTCTTTTGCGGGCATTGAATGTGACCATAGAAGAAGTCTGTGATGCAATTCGTGAAGGTAACTTCTCTCCTTCTTTCTTTCCATGGCATTAAATAATATGCAAGTATTGTCCTTTCCTCATTTTACAGTGTGTCAAAATAAAATGTACTAGAAGGGAAGGGATGTATGAATTTCCTAGAGGGAAGCCTGCAAGTTAGTAATTTTATGAAGTTTTGACTTAGGTCGGTTCAAGTGGTAGATGCACTTAGGGCTAATGTTACTCTGCAAATTCTTGGCGAAACATTTTCTTTGAGGAGTTACTTGTCCACTTATCTGTACAGCATGTTAGTTGAAACAAAATTAACCTAGTGCTTGTGGAGTAAGAAAACTTCTGAAGATTAGGGGAAGGAAGTGAAGGCTGAAGGGCTTGTGCGACAAAGTCTGTTATTAGGATTTGATGTGTTTTGATTTACTTGATATACCTTTCTTTCTCATTCACGCAGCTTGGAAGGCAGCAATCTTTGATGTAGTTGTGATTTGTTGTTTTTCTGTTGTATTATCTTTAAAATTTTGTGGTAGAGTAGACTAGAGATTCTGTACATCTTGATGCGTGGATAGTTTGTTCACTCTGCTTATGATTATGCTTTTTATAACCATTTCCCCCTGAACTGTTTGTCGATAATCAAATTGGTCACTGAAATGCATCATTATGCCTCCCAAACTCAGGGATTATGCATCAATGTACCCCACGGCTTCTGATCCATTAGTTTTTCACTTAAAAATTGTCAAGCAGCAAGCACATAATGTAATTTCAGGGCTAGAAGTAGAATAGTTTTTTTTTTTTGTCGAAAGTAGTAGAATAGTATATTAGACCCTAAATTGAAGATTTACAAAGGACATATCTGTCTCTTTTTCGCCCCCTCCTCTCTATCACCCTTTCTCGCTCCTCTTGTTCTTCCCACTCTAATATATAGTCAATGTACTCTAACATGCTAAACAAACGTTACAAAAAACCTAACTGAACTAATTAACCATGTAATCAAACACTGTGGACTAAGAATAAAAAGCATTGTTTTTGAAACCCATAAGTGAAAACTGCCCTCAATATTTGGTCATCTGCTTTGCATGTGATCGATTTGAACAGGAATTGAAGGATCAGAAGTCTGGAGCCACCTTTATGCATGGTACAAGACTTCAAGGGTCACATTGATGCAATTGAAAGTTGGGGGACCACTTTGTTTATGGGAGCATCTTCTCAAAATTCTTGAGGGAACATCTTGTCTGACTAATAGAATAACATATAAAGAATTCTTAATAAAGACTGTTTCTACAGTCAGCCATTAACATACGTTTAACTTTCTTAATTGGATCAGGAAATGAGCTTCCCTCAGAATTCTTAGAAACTTTGTTGAAGATGGCACCGACACAAGAAGAAGAACTAAAGCTTAGACTGTTCAATGGTCCACTTTCTCAACTTGGGCCCGCTGAGCGGTTCCTGAAAGCTTTGATTGACATCCCGTTTGCTTTTAAGCGATTGGAAGCATTACTTTTTATGTGCACTCTTCAGGAGGAGGCCACCCAGCTTAAAGAGTCTTTCGCAACCTTAGAGGTACTGTTTCTGAACTGCATCATTTATATGATTTTGCGTGTCATAGCTCATCTACGCATGCTTTTAATTTTCTTAGATTAACTTCTACTTGTTCAGAAAGTGCTAAAAAGAATTAATAGCTACCTAAATTATGTTTATACAACCTTAACAAACAATTAAACATAGAACACAGTGCAGATCTATGTTAAGCTAGCCTCATATTTTCTCCCACCCTCCACAAAGACGGTCTTTTGAGCTGTGCGAATTGTCAGTTGATAATGGAGAAGGAACTCCCCTTGTTTGAAAACCTAAACCGATAAAGAGCCAAATGCCAATCGCAAAAGAAAAATGTACAGTTGAAATAGCATGAATAAGTCTGATGTAACATGAGAAAAATGAATGCCATGATTGCAAAGTACAGACGGGATTGGTTGCCGCTATGCACATGTGTTGAGAACTTTATGTAGTGGCAGACCTGTGGTCGCTTTTGTTTCTGGTGGGGTTTGGACCCCAACTCTTGCTTTACTTCATCTACAATCTCAAATGATAAATGTCCCATGACTGCTATTTCTCCTTAGATGAGACTGCTGAAGAGATTGGAATATGTTCGCAGATATTTTGTACAGTCTCTGCTTATGGTTGAAGTTCACATCACTTCTTTGATGACGAGTTTATTCAGATTTCATTTTTATATTGCTAATGATATTCGCATGTTGAAGAAAAGGACAATATCATATTAAAACTATCTGTTAGATAGCTTTCTTGAGGTGAAACAATATCATATCTATTAGATATCTTAGGCTTAGTCATATCAGCAATGCTGAAGGCTCAAATGCGCCAGACCATACTGTCCTTGGGACGTCAGATATGGTATCTATCTGCATCTTGGGCACTCTTGGAGATATGGTATCTATCTGCATCTGGGGGAGACTCCTGGAGATAATCTGGCATGAGGGTGTATATGACTACTTTTACAGCATATATAAAAAATGTCTTATGATTTTATATTAAAATGGGGTGCAGTTTCTTGTTTTTGTAACGTATCATTTTTTTGTATGTGCATGACATTGTCTGCGAGTGTTTTTTGGTCCATATCTTGAAACGTTGCTCTAAAAAATATCTAAATCATGTGGCACCTCATTTCTACGGCAGGTTGCATGTAAGGAACTGAGAAGCAGCCGGCTTTTCCTCAAGCTTTTAGAAGCTGTTCTTAAAACTGGAAATCGCATGAATGACGGAACATTTCGTGGTGGAGCACAAGCGTTCAAACTTGACACACTCTTGAAATTGTCAGATGTTAAAGGAATAGATGGCAAGACAACGCTTTTGCACTTTGTTGTTCAGGAAATAATCCGCTCTGAGGGTGTCAGAGCTGCTCGTACAGCAAAAGAGAACAGGAGTTTCTCTAGCGTCAAAACAGATGATCTCCTTGAGGACACTTCCAATGAAACAGAAGAACAAGAACACCATCGCAGTCTTGGACTTGAGAAAGTTTCAGGTTTAAGCAATGAACTTGAGAATGTTAGAAAAGCATCTGTTTTGGATGCTGAAAGCTTAACAGGAACTGTTGCCAAACTTGGTCATTCACTGATAAAGATCCGGGACTTCCTGAACACGGACATGAAAGATTCAGGGGAAGATAGTGAGTTCCATGAAACACTGAAGAGTTTTGTCCAGAATGCTGAGGTTGATATCACGGGTCTCCTCGAGGAAGAAAAGAGAATCATGGCTCTGGTGAAGAGCACCGGTGACTACTTTCATGGGAATGCAGGGAAGGATGAAGGCTTACGACTGTTTATTATTGTCCGAGATTTTCTAATAATGCTAGATAAGGTTTGTAGAGAGGTAAGATTGGCACCAAAAAAGTCGACAAAAGTCCAGAAAAAAGAGACACCTTCCTCTGATCCCGGCCAGCCTTCAACAATGCCATCTGCCTCCGATCTTCGGCAGCCTCCTTCTCCTGATCTTCATAAGCGGCTTTTCCCGGCAATCCAAGATCGACGAATGGATCATTCTAGTTCAGATGATGAAAGTTAATTGATTTTATTTGGAGAAGGTATGTTCTAAACCTAGTTGAAGAAAGATAATCTCTCTTATATTGTATAGAGGTTCAATCCATGTGTGCGCGCGCGTGCAATTTAATTAGTAAAAAAGTGAGTTAAGGATACCAAATAAGAAATTCTTGTCTTTGCATCTTCTCAGGTGACCATCACTGTACAATTTCGACAACAAGTGCTTTCTTGGTTCTTCTCAAGATATCCATATCCATTGATCACAGAAGGATAAGTGAAAGGGAGTTAAGAGTTGAGCCTGCGGACTATGCCCTTCTCTTCACAGTGGAATTTCACTGGATTGAACCTACGGTCGCTTTCGAAGGTACCTCACCTACTCATGGCTGACTCTGTACATCAATGACTCGTCACTGATCAGGCGGACGACAGGACTAGAGTCGCAGAACACCAATACTGTACAGAACTGTGGCTGGTCATCATTCAAAAGGCGAACAATTTCTTGAGTGATTGTAACTACTGGACCTAACATCGCCATAGTACAGCAACCTTTGTTGTAAATTGGTGTCCTGTTGAGAATGAACTCATGACAAAACAACGTTATTGCCTTCAGAAAGCCCAACGTCCGCAGCAGCGATTTAGACTAAGTGATTTTTTTCCTATTTTTTGTTCTTCCACCTGTCATTATTTGTATTTTTTTTTCTTTTGTTCATAATTTTGACCTTTTGGGAGTGAAATGTGTAGCAAGGTAGTTTTGTTATGTATAGAATTGTTCAATTTACTCTTGGGAATGAAATTTACTGTCGAGACAATGCTTGTAAGGAACGATCTCATGGCCACGGGAAAGACGTCCTATCACGAGACTATATCACGTGATGCGTGATAAAAGAACAAAAAGGTATACAAACCCATGACAAGAAAAGAAAGTGTATGTGCGTCTTTATATAATATAGAGTGAAGTGTCAATTTACTCTCTGAATTATCTCTTCAGTGAAAATTAGTTTTTTGAATTATTTTTTCAGCAAATTAAGTCCTTAAATTTATTAAAAATTGATAATTTCATCCTTACTATTATATTCAAAGCTATTTTATCTAATTTTTCATCAACTTAAGTCACTTAACACATTTTAGAGTGTGATACCGACATTTTCTTGTCTATAAGACCCTAACATTTCATATAAGTTATGAATCTAACGTTTAATTTACCCTCCAATGTTAACTTACATGATTTCGTATGAAAAACTACTAATTTACCTTATAAAGTTAACTCTATACATTATTTCTTTATGAAAAACTACCAATCTACCATTCAATGTGTATTACATGTAAGTAACATGATTTAAATTAACAAAAAATTAAATATTGTAATTTCGAATATAATATTAAGAACTAAATTGGTAGTTTACTTTCTTATATAATCACGTGACCAACTTGATCGCGTGAAGAGTGATGAGGACAACCATGACTCCTCAATTTCTTTGATGCATGTGCCATATTTTTCAATTAAAAATAGAAAAAAACAAGAATACCCTAAATTATAAAGCAACTGTACTAAAGAGGTATTATAGTGTCATTTAGTATTATAGTTTAGTGGTATTATTCGTTACTTATAAGTGATAGGCCTTATGTTTGATTCTCGCCAAATGTGAATTGCTAGCTCATCATGAGGCTAAACCCACCTCTTCCTTCTGAGTATAAAAAATATTGTTGGTTAAAAAAATAAAAAAAAAGGAGGCATAGTGGACTGAGAACCATTTTTCTTGAGGTGGTCGGAGAATTTTCAGGTGAGAATATTTGACATTCAAGAAATATGTGAACGTCCTTTCCAATCTTGCTTGCGAATGATCAGAATCCTCGATTATGTAGTTTTGCCTCTAAGGATTAGTCATACGAATAAAAGTGGATCAAATTAGAAATAGTTGTCGGTTCACCATAATTACTCGGTACTAATAATTATGATGTTTTTTCAAATAAAAAGTAAAAAAATTATGTGCAGACATAATCAAATTGGTTTAAAATGTATTATTCTTTCATGTCGTAAATGAGTAATATTATTCATACCATATTTTTATATCATATTTTTATATCACAATAGGTTACATCTGATGTAGACAGCCACATCATTTGAAAAATTTGCAAAACCTAATAAAATGAAGGAGAAGGACTGATAGTATATCACAATCACCATTTAATTAACTAGTTTTTCTTAATTATTAGTTTATTAAATAATGAACTAAATTTAAAAATTTGATTAATTCAAATGATATGACTGTCTACATCAAATATCATCTAAGATGATATGAAATTATAGTACAAAATTATGGTATAAATAACATTAATCATCGTAAATTAATTTAATTTATTATCGCCCTCAGCCTAAAAAGTAGAAAAAAAAAAAGGCGTGTGGAAACCCAATTTTACCAAATTACATCTGAAAACACACACCCAGCAGCCGTAGGCCGCCCCACACACAACCACTGCTCACTCCTCCTTAGTTGTAATCACCAATTCTTTTACCCTAATCATTTTCTAGGGTTTTAGTCTGCGTGTTCCAAAGGCCAGTTCTCCATCTAGGGTTTTGCCTGCGCTTTAATTCCACCATCTGAAGAGTAAGGAGGGATTCGGAATTCCATTCGGCTGCTCAGGAATCCCAATTCTTCATCGTCAAGGTTTGTTTCGCTTTAATCTTTATTATTGTCATTCATCTTTCAAATTGCTCAACTTTAACAACCTAGTTGCTGCTTAGATTTTAGGATTTTAATTTAATTCAATTCAATTCAATTGTTGTAGTCGACGGGTAAAGATTTGAGCTCTTGGAACTTACCCAAGAATTAATTTCCCTAATTGTTCGACATTGTGGTTTATCAAATTTTGTTTGACATGGTTATGAATATTTGTTGTATCTGTAATTCCACAGCTTATTAGTGGTACCTTCGCAGTTAACTTGTGGTGGTTGCTTTGAATTATTCAGCATGTCGTCTTTAAGGAATGCTGTTAGCCGACGGGCTCACAAGGAGCGAGCTCAACCGTGAGTGACCACATTCCTTTTTGCTGTTAGACTTTCGGATAATGTTGTTTTGCATCAGATGATGGGATTAATGTTTTTGTGTTTTGGGTCCAAATTTTTTATAGGGAATCGAGGAAAAAATTTGGGCTTCTTGAAAAGCACAAGGACTATGTTGAGCGTGCGAAAGCGTATCACAAAAAGGAGGAGACTTTACGGGTAGATTTATGATGGCTTTGTTGTTTTTCTCGGATTTCGTCATCTATTAATAGTCTGGTAATTTAACTTCCTATATGGTATACATCTTAGGCTATGTCTCATCTGTCTTTTCACTCAACAGATACTGAAGCAGAAAGCCTTCTACAGAAACCCAGATGAGTTCAACTTCAAGATGATCAAGACACGAACTGTTAATGGAGTCCATAAATTAAAGTAACATAAAACTCTCGTTTACTCTTCTATATCGTTTTCCTTTTTCACACTTGCTACTCATGTGATGTGGATTTTTACTACAGGAGTCAGGCAAACAAGTATACTCCAGAAGAGCTCATGCTTATGAAGACCCAAGATATTGGATACATATTTCAGAAACTGCAGAGTGAGAAAAAGGTTATAAATATATATCATGAAGCTATGGTCTACCAGTTGGCTTTATGAATTTAACATGTTGGTTCTAATTATGGTGTTAATTAATGCAGAAAATTGAAAAGTTAACTGCGACACTGCACTCTCTTGATAATCGGCCTTCAAGTAGACACGTTTACTTTGCCGAAGACAGGTTTGAGCTTCCTTCACATCTTCTATCCATGGAGAATCTTAATTCTGAATTAGTGGATTTTTTTAATTTGTAATTTTTCGTTGCTGCTGTTATTTGTAATCAGACTGGATATGGTGAAAGACCATTTTCACCATTTTTTGGTTCTTTGTTGTCCCTTATTATCCACAGAGGTCTGTTTCCATTGTTCTAATTGATTTTGTTATGTATATTTTTCATGTTCATTGAATTGGTTTTTTCATCAGTAGGCAAAAGTATCTAGAGTGATTTTAACCCTTTTTTCTAAGCAAATACACAACATAAAACACACATAAACACAAATACATATCTATTGTATTACGGCCCCGAGAAAGGGGACATAGAAATACAGTGATACAAGGACTATAAGCGTGCTATTACAAATCTGCAAACTACCTCCATTCTGGCCCATGTAGTTATAGTAGAGTAGATCCTCATGGCTTCAACTGGGGGCACTAGGCTAATTTCTTAGTGTTATTAATTTTTTCCTGGGAAGACATTATTCTTCAATTCTTTCACATGGGGATAAGACCTATAATGTTATAGAATTCACGGGAAACCACTCTGGGTGAAAGAGTTGGGAAGGAAAGTAGTTTCTTAATTTCACGTTATTTATGTTCCCATTTGCCAAATATGTTTTATCTTGTTTTGCACATTTAAAAAAATCTATTGTTAATTATTTTTTTTGGCAGAGAGGAGGCTAGAGAAATTCAATCACGTTCAAGAAGTGGAAAAATGCCGGTTTCTGAGGACATTCCTGATCATATAAAAAGGTAGAAACAAAATTTTCAGTGATAGAGGACAGATTGAGGAGTTAGGTTTATCCTGGAAGTTTTGGTCTTTTGATTTTCATCAATATTGCATCAATTATGCATTTCTATGCAACGATTATGGTGATAAGATCTTGGCATTATTGCTATCTAAGAATAATTGTGCAGTGATCCCTTTGCACTTTGCATGGTTGCATTCTAAAAGTAATAAGATTACTTTGTGATACCAGGCCATCAATCGTGAAGTGAATTGGACTAGAATGTTTCGTAATAGAGAAAAGGTTCTAAGCAAACCTAGTCTCTTAATGTTTAGTCTAAAGGCTGCAACTTGGCTTTTATACTGTATGTGATTGTGATTTGTGATTATGCCAACTGACCTAAAAGAGTATAAACAAATATTAATGGTTACAAGTATATGGCAAAAAAATAAAAAAATTATCTCGCAGAAGTTGTTCTGTATATTAAGTTATTAACCGGTTTGATAAACAGCTCTTTGCTGCTATGCCAACTAAAGCCCAACTTTGCATGGGATAAACAGCTTTTTGGCAAAATTGAAATTGAAATAAATTAGAAGTTGGTCCGAGGCCCAACTATTTAGGTGCTAGTTGGAATTGTATTTCGGTTGAGAATTTCTTTTTATGCTGGTTTTGTATTCCTGAATCCTAGGTAGCTCACTCATGTTAACAAATTCATGTTATTCTTATGCTACCTTTCAATTTGTGGAATAATTCTTGCATCTGCCTTCCTGTCTCATTGTCAGCAAGGATTCTTGTAGCGTGATATCATTATTTTGTTTAAGTCTTATATTGTCGTCTTCAATGTGCAGGAAAACAGCTGGTTCCTACAGAGAGCTCGAAGCAAGGAGTAAGAGAGTCAATGAGTTGGAGAAAATCTATATGGATATGGCAATGCAGAAGGAATTAAAGGTATTGACATCTAAATTTCTTTGCTTAGTTCTGGGAGTTTGGTTGTCCGTGGATAGTTTTGAATACATTTCCGTCTAAATTACAGAAAAAGGGTAAAAAACGCAAACTACGTGAAGATGAGATTGTCTCCCCAACATCCAAGCCTGTATTCAAGTGGCGGGCAGAGCGGAAGCGTTAAAAAGGTGTGTGTTGATCCATTATTAGCTTTTTTTTATCAGTTAATTATCGTGCAATGGAAATCACTCACTTAAGTCGGTGTGTTTTTGCAGGAATGAGGCTGCTAGTGATATCTAGGCCCTGGAAAGAAGTACGGACCTGATGTACCGCAACTTTCCCATGTAACGGAAAATTTGATCTACATATGAACATGACACAAGTGGTATAGTCATGGATATTTGCTCTTTTTTAGGGTAGAAGCATTTGCGTTTTTTGTGACTGCTAGTCAGATCGTAGCAGGATTTATAACAAAACTAACAAAACCAAAGCCGTATTCTGTTCATGGTACTCGATTTAAGATTATCGTCGTTTACTATGAATTTTTGAAGTTGTGAAGTCTGTTGGAGTATGATATTTAAACTGAAACTTTCCACTGAGTAGTGACTACTGAGGTATATGGTGGTGGAATGGCTGCTTGATCTAGGACCAAACAGTTGTTGCAAAATCGCCCTTCAATTGAGTGCTAGACAAACAAGGATGGCAGTGGCACTTGGGTTTCATCGCGACTTTATTACATAGGTTCGGAAACAGGACAATCCGGCTCGAAAACGATATGGTCAAACATCAACCATTAAAATGAGTTGTCACCATGGCAGCAGCGTCGAGCGCTTCATCGACATGAACACCTCAAGACTCCGCAGTCTTGACACCGTTTTAACGGTTTCACTATCATGTGAAGTGCAAAAGATTTCAGGTGAATAAATTTCACTACCACGGGTACAAAGTAATGAGAATTCCATAGCACAAATGAAAGAGTGAAAGCTGAGAAACAATACAGCACAAGAATCATACGATGCTCAAACTTTGAAGCATTGTCATTACGCATTTAAACCCACAAACACATCCAAAAAAAACAATACAAACGACATTCCCACAAAAATCTTCTATCTATCAAGAAGCTAGAAGATGATTATATTCACAAACATTACGAACCTACAACCCCTAACCCTAAAACCCAACTACATTTCCAGAAACAGAGACCCCAATAGCCTACTTTGACCTACTGGGCAGAACTAACATATTAGTCCGGCAAAGATCGTCATTTTGTTTTGAATCTAAGAGTCATCATCACCACCGACGTTCTTGGAGGAGGCACCGGTCTTCTTTGGGAGCAGAAGGTTGTGAATGTTGGGCATCACACCACCATTTGCAATTGTCACATCCCCAAGAAGCTTGCTGAGCTCCTCGTCATTCCGCACAGCTAGCTGAATGTGGCGCGGCACAATGCGAGTCTTCTTGTTGTCTCTTGCTGCATTGCCAGCCAATTCCAGAACCTGTAAAATCAACCAAATTGAAACAACATTAGAATCAAAACCCAAATTTGAAAGTTGAAAATCAATTCAGTTGCAGAATCATAACTTCACCAAAGAAAACCCTAACCGCAATAACATCTAAATTGGAGGGGAAAGCACGTTGAGGAACAAATTCTCATTAAAATCGGTATGGTTCGACCATCAATAAATTTCAATCACAGTAGTCCAACAACCTTACAATTAAAAATAACCATTTTTTTTTGTCAAACAATTAAGAATAACAATAATTGCAATAAAATTATCCTAGTGAAAATTTGATAAAATAAATAACCAAAATACAAAGAACCCTAATTTTTAAAAATTGAACAATGCCTCAACAATATCGACCTGCAGATCATAACTTAAAGATTAATGGATGAGGAATTCGATTAAATTAAGTTCATAGCCCCCTACATGAATACGAAAAATAAAAGAATACCAAATTAATTCCGCCAAAAATAAAATAAATGAATAATATTATTATAAAATAAATTAATTCAATGAAAAGAAGAAACCTAGATCCAAGATCCTAAATTTGGTTGATCAGGAGCAGATGCAGAACAAATTAGCAAAATTTCACATTTTTCATGTTCTATACGTAATTTCTGCACAGAATTACTAAATTGAAACAAACTATTTCCTAATTAGAAACCCTAAACCTAGATTTACAAAAAAGGGAGAAAAAAACACATGCAGATACAAATAAAGAGGAATTAAAAGATCGAGAAAGAGGGGTTATACCTCAGCGGCAAGGTATTCAAGGACAGCTGCGAGGTAGACCGGAGCTCCGGCACCGACACGCTCGGCGTACTTTCCGGCTTTCAGGAAACGGGCAATACGACCGACCGGAAATTGCAGACCGGCCTTGCTGGACCGCGATGTGGCCTTCTTAGCGGCTCCGGATCCCAAAGCCTTCCCACGACCCGCCATTGATGGACCTCCAAGAACAGTTCGAGAAGTGATTGAGAGACAGTTAGATGCTATGGAGGAGCACTGAGGTTTTTGTAAGGTATTTATAGGGTTGGGATTTGAATGTGAGCCAATGGGTTGAAGTACGCGGATCGAGGATGGAAGCCGTCGATTAGATGATTATGGACGGCGGGGATTCGTTGAGCTAGAGAGTTTATAACCTTCTGTTCTGGTTACATTTTGTTGAAGAGACGAACCAAAATAGGCAACACATGTAACTTTCATACACATACGTACATATAGGCACACAAATAGATATGTATAGGAACAAAGCTATCAAATATAGGGTACATAAGTTTGTACGCACACAAATTATGTGTGTGTGTAGAAAATCTTTGTGAAGTTCATACTACATCGAACTTCAACGATCTGAATCATTTATTTTGTAAGCTTCGATTAATAAAAAAATCTTTACAAAAATTGAATTCAATCTGAAACTATTTGCCTAAAACACGAGAAAGAGACTTACATGCAAAAATTATAAACCTGTTCGGTAAGTTTTAGCCATAAAACATAATTTTGCATAACTAAGACGGTAAGTTCGTAACTATAGATAGATAAATATGAAAAAGTTATAGTTATGAGTGGGACATAAAGAGTATTTCCCCTATCTCTAAAAGAAATCATGATTTTTATGTAAATGTAACTCTCTTCATTACAGTAACAAACTAGAAAAAGTGTGCATGTGTGATGCTACTTATGTTTAAAACTGTATAAAACATGCAAATAATATATATAAAGTACAACTATACTAGGTATTCAATGGTGGGATTTACAACTCTATTTATAACTCTTTTGCAAGAATCACATACTTGACAAAAATTCGAACCCCTAGATCCGAAATTAGCAGCTGTGACAGGTGTTGAAGTGGAATTGGAACATGGAAGTTCCAACTCACTCTGCATTTTATTAACATTTTAAGGTACTACCTTCATGAAATGAGAAACCACTTAACAATTAAGTCCACGCGCAAGCTCCAAGAATTTTCCAAGTTAGAAGAGATATAGCAATCCAATCAAACAATCCATAATTATATGCAAAATCAGAGACATATAACAAAACTCTTAAAACTAAATCAATTGAATATTAATGTCAAGATAATGCATCCAACAGTCGCCTATGCAACAATTGTGATGCAAAATTGCACTAATTTAGAAGACTAGAAAAAAAAAATTGGAAACGAATCACAATAAATTTAGGAAAATTGAATTCGTTTTTACAGATAAAAAAGTAGAAACTTGAAACAATGAAGCATAATGGTACTTACTTGTTCCTTGTCCAAAAACGTCGGCAGCTATTAGAACCTGAAAATTTCCATAGGTACAAAACTTAATGTCAATGCCCATTACGAAAGGGAGACAGATTGTCTACTCTTCTGTTTGGATGACATTCTCATTCTTTTCTATTTATGCGGTTACAGTTAAATCACATTAACATTTTATATTCCTATTGTTTTTTGTCTTATTATCTGAATAAAAAAAATCAATATAAAATGTTGACATGGCTCAACTGTGACTACACAAAATAAGAGGGGATGAAAAGGGCACCAAACATGAGGGCAAACAATCTGCCTCCGTGCCCTTCCCATCTCCTCCTATTTGTACGGTCACGGTTAAGTCACGTTAACATTTTATATTCTTATTATTTTTTGTCTTATTATCTTTATAAAAAAAATCAATATAAAATGTTGAAACGGTTCAACTATTACCATATAAAATAAAAAAAGATGAGAAATGCATCAAACAGGAGGACAGACATCTGCCTCCTTACGAAAGATAGAGGAACTACAGCCGTAATAGAGTACTCGAAACCGAAATAGTAAGATTACAAATCAAAATAACAGCAAAAGTAGATTAAAAAAAGAAAAAGAAAAAGGAATCTACAAGGAATCTGGTTTTGTAAGTATGTGGATTCTTTACTATAATTTAAACACCACATGTATACTGACACTTACTATTTGATTAACAGTAAAAGTACTATTGTTGGGAATAATCGAATGAAAAAGATGATTTACACTATTTAAGGCAAGTATTTTAATCAGGTGGGCAATGACCACACATTAAATTGACAACTCAAATAATGTTATATTATTTGCATACACAGGATGAGATATATGAGAATGTAATAATAGAATAAAGATTGTCTGCCTTCCAACTTCTAAGGTCCTTTCGTACCTTCCTGTTTATATAGTCACGGTTAAACCATGTTAATATTTTATATTACTATTCATTTTTTTCTTATTATCTCTGTAAAAAAAAAAATATAAAATGTTGACGTGGCTTAATCATGACCACACAAAACAGAAGGGCACGGGAGGGCATCGGAAGTGGAAGGGCAGACAATCCTTGTCTGTAATAATATTGTCTACAATATAAGTGGCTTTTGATTAATGAGTGCACATCATAAATTCCGTATGCATGCTTTTAAGTTCATAGTATACTCCAGTCAGGTTTGTGTTCATTTGACATATGATCTCAAAACTTGCAACAAGTTTTCTTTATTGTCTAATTGCATTTTTTAAATCAAACGAAATATTAATAAGGTTGAGTTCATAGTTTGATGCATGTTGATTACAAAATCGCAATGACATATATGAATGATTGTTGGATATACGAAATTACATGTACAATTGCAAAACATTGTGTATTGTAAGCTGAGATGTTAAATATTGTGGAGTAATATTGCAATACACAACTACTATGCAATACACAATGATAATGTGGACTACTGCAATACAAAATTCTACTAAGAATTCGATTCTGGGTAAAGATTCACAGTAAAGAAATATGTCTTCATGTTCCCATCGCAACCCTCTGCATCTAAGTTCTATACTCAATTCATGGAGACTATGAAGAATGCATCAATTAAGGGAAAATAATTGCAATGTGCATAGGGGCTGTTATTTTCAAGATTCTGTCCATCAAGCCTAAATTTAGAAAAAAAAAACAATTAAACAAAAAAAGGGAAATAAATAAAATAAATACCAGATAAATCAACATCTCGTTTCTGGTCCCATAAAATCAGTACATTAGCACTCCCTGCAAAACCCCACAATCAGAAAATCAGTATATTAACATTGTACATTAAGTAATCCCCAAATTTCCAGCCAAAGGAAAATTAATACAACTTCTTCAAAACATAATCAATAGATAAGAAAATCAAAATTTCTTTATAGGTAGTGAATATGAAAAAGATAGGTAATAATTAATAAAAAATTTCTAAAATCATAAAGACATACGAGATGGGGAAATTTAAATAAATGATTCTGATAAAATGAAATCACATAAAATGTTCAGTGAACAATTTTTCAAAAACCTAGAATTTAAAGGAAGAATTCTACAAATTATGAAAAATTTACTAAAATCCAAAAATTTGAAGCAGATGCTTACATGCAATAGATCTAGAAGCTACTTGATGTAATAAGGAATCGATTGAGATCAACCTCGAGGATGGCCTTTGCCAAAATCGTTGAAATCATCATCATCTGTCACTGTGTACTTAGTGAGTTGCGGAAAGAAGAGTGGGAGGGAAGCGAGAGAGAAATGAGAGAGAAGAGCAGGGAGTCAGAGTCGCAGTCGGGGAGGAGCGAGAGGGAGAAAGATAAGGAAGAAGAAAAAAAATGAAGTGTATATGTATTTTATGAGACAATAGCCGAAGAAGTAATAACACAAACTTGGCAGGAACAAAATGGAAAGCACACAAAATCAACCCAAAGCAGCAAATGGCAAAACGGTAAATATATAAAAATAAATCCAAATCCACTGTAGCTTAAAACTGGTGCCAATTTCTCCCCAACTTTAAACTATAGTAATATGAAACAACCTTATGTCGATGTAGTCTAAGTTTGCTTAACCCTTGATATAGGTATTGTCAATGCAAATTTCCACCGTCTTCAGTCTTGACGAAAATGCACCTGCAAAACAATCAACACCTTTGATCAGAGACCTAAGCCTCACACACCCATGAGGTGGGGGGGGGGGTTTAGGTCAACAGATCTCTGATGCCTAAGTTAGTTTCTATAAGAAAGTAAAGTGTTTAGAGCTTTTTTAGGGTTGCAAAAGCTCTCAAAATTTGTAGAATAAGGGGTATTTATAGGGCTAAGGCCGGCCATATAGTGTTGAATGGAGAGATATTCTCTAAATATTCCCAAGGTATTAAATAGGAAATAATATCTTGAGATAATGATGTAATTATCCCTAATTTATTTAAATTAGAATTACTTACTTGATTGGAGACTTGGAGTCAATCTTCAATTAGGAATGCATTAAAGATAGGATTTGTGTAATTAATCCTTATCTTTAATTCCTTGCCAAGGGCAGGTAAGCTGTGGGTAGTTGTATTCAGCTGCTGAGACCTCCAAGGGCATGAGCTGCGCGTGGGAGCATATGAGAAGCATGCCCATTTATTAAGGGCAATCTTGTCTTTTTTTGAATAAAAGTCCACGTGTTGCCTCTAGAGTATTTAGGATTATTTTAGGCTCCACAAATGTTCCCACACCTATTGTGTTGCACGTAGGAAAATGATTGTAGGTGTAGGAATCCCAAGCTGCTTAGGCTTGCAGAATTGTTTCCCAATTTGCAAGGTGGGTTACTTCAAGGCTACACATGTCAAGATCAATTTCGAAGAGTTGTTTCGGATTTTCTTGAGGCGTACAAGCATGCGATTCTGTCAGGGGTTCGAGTTAAGTGGGTGAAAGATGATAGCGGTTATGAACCATGCGGCGATGGTGCATCTGCTAGGAAGAGGGCCATCAAATTCCATCCATATTACTTTGTGTTGGGATTCACTTTTCCCATGCCGCGTCTTTTCCAGGTGGTAATCTATTCCATGAAATACGCATTTGCTCAGTGCTCCCCAAATGCAATTCGTGCGATGTTGGGGTTCTCAAACTTGAGCAAGTTCTTTGATCTTGGCTTGGCCATTAATGAGTTATGGTACTTCTTTGAGATCATCCACAAGGAAGGTGTGAGGCAACTGAAGTCTCGTCATAGGCTGTTCGATGCTTCTAGCAAAAGTGATCATGAG